GCCTCTCCCCTTGGCCACCCTCTTTCCTGTAGACCCCCATGTTCTCTAATGGATTCTGCTCAATGACTCGCTGTACATGTCCAAGCACCGCCAATAAGAGGCGAGGGTAAAGTTCCTGCACTGCATCTCTGCAGTTGGGGGTGGAGAGCATCTCACATAGCGCACAGGTCACCTGAAGAGGGTAAAAGAAGATTCTATTACTCTGAGTTCTTAGAAAGAGAGCAAAGGATATGAAATTGACACTCCTCCCCCCAAAAAAGATGCTCAAAAACAAGGGTTATCTAGTTCTTAGGGCCTTAAGGAAAGAGGGGGCCAATATCAACTTGTGATCAAATGAGGAATTTTCCAGGCCCTGAGGGGACAGCCAAAGTGTCTCCCCTCCCCCCGCCTACCAAATAAAAGCATCCCTAAAGGTTTTGCTTTTCCAGTTCTCTCTTTTGCTGTCAAAAAGCCACAGCCTAAATGCTAGTGTACTCACAGCAACGGGCTGGAGGGCGATCTCATCATCAGAGATATTGCTTTTGGCTTTTTGGACTGGTTTTTCCTCCAAGATTGTTATCAGCAGCTGAAGAACATTGAGTGTGGTTTCTCTTCTGGTGCCCAAAAACCTCCATAGCTCAGTTGTGTTGCTACAAACGTAGAGGCCCAAAAATAACACTTTTTTACTTCTATACCAACTTCCATTCAAAGATTTCGGAGGACTGCAGTGAAACAAGCCTCCCAATACTGATGAGCAGCAGTGTAAGTAAAACTAATTAGCCCCATTTTACAGATGGAGCGGTTGCCCTGCACTGGAAAAGAAGAGGCTAAAACAGCCCCGGGTGAGGGCTGGGCCTTGAGCCAAGTGGGAGAAGGCGTAAGGCAGCTAGTCTGCACATGGCTGGTTTATACAAAATGGGCTGCAGAGCAGAGGGTACTCAGGCTTTCTCCAGCTCTGGGGGAGAAGGACTCTCTGCCTGTGTAGAAAAAGGTTCCCTGAACAAAGCCATGCTAGGGAAGGTCAGGGGGAGCCAGGGGAGCTCCAGGATGACCAGCTCCCAGACTGAGTCCCTGATGCAGGGGCCAGAGAGGGTACTAGAGCTGTGGGAGGCGACTGGGGATGAGGCGAGTAGGCAGCAGCTCCATCCCCCTTACCAATGATGAGAGTGGCTAGTGCAGACTGTAGTTTGCCCTAGAGGGAGGGGGTGAGACTCAGGACTGCGGTGGGTCATTGAGATAAGTGGTGCGATCAGGGGGAAGCCAGTTCCCTGAAGAGGAGGAACCCAGAGAGCAGGCATCACCCGAAGGCAGCACCCGGGGGAAGGGCACCATGGTCTGGCAGGGACACAGGGCATGGCATGAAGGAGAGGGAAAGGAGAGAGACCTGCCAGAGAAGGGCACTGCAGTGCTGGAGAAGAGCTAATTCCCAGAAGACGAGTAGGAGGTGCAGCAACGAGAGTAAACCTGTGCTGCAAACTCAGAGAGCGGTAAAGTGATTTGGTGGTGGTCAATCAATGAGGCACTGATAAAGCTGGATACAGAACCTGGGGTTCTCACACTTAACCCTGCGCTCAAACCACTAGATAGGAGGCGTCCAGGCCAACCGATGCAGGAGTACAAAGAGGGCCCAGGGTTCCTGGCTGCTGCTGCTGCTTTTGGAGCCGTGGGCCCTTTAAATTGCCAGCAAATCCCTTGGCAGTGCACTCCAGGTGACAGTGGGTGGGGAAAAGTCTAGTGCAGGCGGCGCTGAGGGCTGCCTAATCAGTCCAGCCCCTTCATCCCAAGGCCCTGCCCTTGCCAGAAGCACAGAACTGGGACCCCCTCCCTTGCCCAGGGATCTGGCAAATCTGTCGGCTCACCTGTATACATCCCTCATGCATGGACCTTCTACACAGGTTAAACCTATACTGCTATAACTTGTCTCTCTATATACATATATTGGTGATATCTGGAGTAGAATCATGCCCATGAGCAGAGAGCAGAGAAGTAAGAAACAGCATTCTGGGGGAAAAAACCCGAGGAAGAAGTGATTCCCCATCAATCATATAGAGGCGACACTGGCTTTATTTGTCACAACTGTATGTTACTAGACCAGAAAAGTGGGCTATCATGGTTTCCAGTAAAACCAGCAAGACACTATCACACAGTATAGGTTTTAAACACATCAAATAATTAATCACAACTAAAGCTGGTCCCAAAATTAACTAAATTTGTTGTTAAAATTTTAACTTTTGCCAGAAAGATGATGAATTTCTAATGAAAGAGATATCCCATTTTTCAACTTGCTTTAATCACAACCTAGTACAGTGAGGAACATAATATGAAATCTACATGCATAAAATGCAGGAACAAAAAGAAAGAAGGAACATACATTTGGGCTGTGTCCAGACTCAGGGGTTTTTTCGAAAAAAGTAGCCTTTTTTCGAAAAAACCTCACCTGCGTCTAGACTGCAGCCGCGTTCTTTCGAAATTAAATCGAAAGAACGTGGCTTTTCTTTCGAATTAAATCGAAAGAACGCAGCTTTTCTTTCGATGACGGTAAACCTCAATTTATGAGGAAGAACGCCTTCTTTCGAAAGTTCCTCTTTCGAAAGAAGGTGTTCTTCAATGTAAATAGGGCTTCTTCGAAAGAGAGCATCCAGACTCACTGGATGCTTTCTTTCGAAAAAGCAAGCTGCTTTTTCGAAAGTTCAACGTGCAGTCTAGACGCTCTCTTTCGAAAGAGGCTTGCAGTCTAGACATAGCCTTGGAGAACCAAGGCAGAAAGAGCATTGGAAAACTTTCTACCTGTCCCATGGGAGAGGATGGTCCAACAGGATAGGCACCACTTTCTTGGTGTTGTTTCCAGCCAAAAAACACACTGCCCTCAACATTTCCTGCCTCGTAGTGGGTTCATGGATAAGGCTGAGACGCTGGTAAATCCCAGTCAGAGTGTCATCTACCTGTAAGAAACACCCAGTTAAAGATTTTTCCTATACTTGGATACATGTGTTTATATGTTTGGGATGGGGGGATATTGTTTTGTTTCCCCCCTCTGGTGATAAAATGCACAATTTAAATTTCAGACACAGTGATGATAGCAACAGAATGTGTTCCTGTCTCCAAAGGAGACATCTTCCTAAAAACAAAACCAATCAATTTCTGGAGAGTGGTTCTGCATTGTCCTAATTATTTTGTCTAATTGAACTTTAATCTTTAATGGTAGCCTCTCATTGCTTAGAAGTCCCTTTATGCCTTCTCAAAGACTCTATGAAATTTGCAGAGAACTTCAAAAAATTCCCAGTTTCAAAGTTTCACATCTAACAACTACAGTATTTTCCAGGTAGCCTTACAATAATTGTCCAAATCCTTTGTGCTCTTTACTTCTTAATGTACAAACCAAACTGGCTCAAAAATAGGCATGAGAAATTTCAGGAAGAAAAGAGATCGTCTCCTTCAAAAATCTAGAAAGGCTTCAAAATTAGACTTATAACAGAAACTGCTTTACAGCCTTAACTATAGAGTCATTATTGTGGCTCTATAAGAAGACACTGTATGGCTGTGTCTACACGGGCATGAATTTCCGGAACTGTTTAAAACGGAATACTATTCCGTTTTCAGTTTTTCTGGAAAAGGAGCGTCTACATTGGCAGGCTGCTTTTCCGGAAATGCCCTTTTCCTGGAAAAGCGTCTGTGGCCAATGTAGACGCGCTTTTCTGGGAAAGAGCCCCGATCACCATTTTCACGATCGGGGCTTTTTTCCGGAAAAGACTACTGGGCTGTCTACACTGGCCCTTTTCCGGAACAGTGTTCCGGAATAAGGACTTATGCCCGAGCGGGAGCAGAATAGTTTTTCCGGAATAGCGGTTGATTTTGTACAGCAGAGCGTTGTTGCTTTTCCGGAAATTCAAGGGACCAGTGTCGACAGCTCGCAGCTTATTCC